TTTTAGAGCCCTTAACGGCTACGAGAAAAAGCAATTGCTTTTCTTCTTTAAACACGTTAATAAATAATAAACCATTCATATATAAATTGATAAATTATAGAAAAAAATAAAATGGAAACGACAGTAACTTCCTCAGAATTCTTGACAACACTGTCGAATGATTTATCGTGGCTACTTGAAAATGCCGAAAACTGCGATGTTGTATTACAGGCTGGACAAGAACCTAACGTTCGAAAATTTCACGCACATATTGCTATATTGAGGGCAAGATCAAATTATTTTAAAAGAGCTTTAGCCAAACAATGGGTAAAGCATGAGGAAGATGGCTTAAGTATATTTCAAAAACCAAATATTTATCCAGAAGTGTTTGAAGAGATTTTAAAGTAAGTTTTATCTTTAACGCGGAAAATACTATATATGGAGTAATAAATAAGTAAAATTTTATATGATTTACATTCGTGAATTTTAAAGGTACATATACAAGGGTAAAATTGAACTTGGAGGACAAGATGGGCAAAATCTTCTTAATCTTTTAACAGCAGGAGATGAATTGATGTTGGATGAATTTTGTAATTACATTCAGAATTTTTTAATTCAACAAAAATTTGAATGGCTTGAAGAGAATCTTGTAGAGGTATTACGTATTACAGGAAATTGTAGTAGTTGTACAGCACTTAGAGAATATTGCTTAGAATTGATTGCCGAAAAACCAGCATCAATTTTTAGATCGGAAGGATTTCCATCATCGGATAAAGAATTGTTACTTTCACTTTTGAAACGAGATGATTTGGAGATGAATGAAGTAGAGATTTGGAATCATGTGGTTAAATGGGGAATAGCTAATACACCTAACCTTTCAGAAACAGAGATTAAAAGATGGACAAAAGAAGACTTTGAAGCATTAAGTGAAACGTTAGATCAATGTATTCCGTTAATTAGATTTTTTGATATATCATCATCAGATTATTATGATTTTGTTAGACCATATGATAAGATTCTTCCAGTAGATTTAAATGAAGATATAGTTAAATATCATTTTAAACCAGGTAGCATTCCACGATCAATAGTTCTTCCACCGCGAGATCAAGGAATGAATTTGGATTCATTTATTATTAAACCTATTCATGCACGACTTATTTGTGGATGGATAGATGGAAAAAATATACTTGGACCAACATATGTTAAAGCGGCATATGATTTTAAATTATTAGTTCGAGGGACACATGATGGGTTTGATGCGACAACATTTCATTCTAGATGTGATCGTAAAGGACCAACAGTAGTTGTATTAAAATTGGAGGGAGTAGATGAGATACTTGGAGGATATAATGCAGCATATTGGAGAACGGGGGCGGTTTACATTCAATCAGATAAGAGTTTTATATTTTCACTGGGAGATGGAAAAAATTTACAAGAGGTTAAATTGAGTAGGGTTCGCGATTCGGCAACATCAATGTATGGGCATACATCATACGGACCACATTTCGGAACAGCAGATTTGAGGATGTACTCGCCTTTTAATATTAAGGAAAATTGTAGTTGTCAACATGCGAGTTATTATAGAACTATTACTGAACATGTTAGATTTGCAGCTGAGGAATATGAAGTTTTTCAGGTTGTTCAGAAACAATAGTTGACATTATAATTATATGTATGACGTTTTTGTAGATAGGCGTTATAATGCCAATAATGCATAGGTATTTTTGGTATTATGTACTTTTCTAGCATACATAGCTATTGAGATTTATATAGAATGGTTTATTATTTATTAACGTGTTTAAAGAAGAAAAGCAATTGCTTTTTCTCGTAGCCGTTAAGGGCTCTAAAA